GTACATGTGGATTGCTAGTAGTGTTGATTACTCTTTGTAGTTGTTGCAATTTGGTTTACTTGGTGGAAGATCATATGTTCAGATCCTTTATGCATATTATTACCCCTTTGATTATGAACATGAATATGCTTTGTGAGTAGTTACGTTTGTTCCTGAGGACATGGGTGAAGTCTTGCTATTAGTAGTCATGTGAATTTGGTACTCGTTCGATATTTTGATGAGATGTATGTTGTCTTTCCTCTAGTGGTGTTATGTGAACGTCGACTACATGACACTTCACCATTATTTGGGCCTAGAGGAAGGCATAGGGAAGTAATAAGTAGATGATGGGTTGCTAGAGTGACAGAAGCTTAAACCCTAGTTTATGCGTTGCTTCATTAGGGGTTGATATGGACCCATATGTTTAATGTTGTGGTTAGGTTTACCTTAATACTCCTTTTTGTAGTTGTGGATGCTTACAATAGGGGTTAATCATAAGTGGGATGCTTGTCCATGTTAGGGCAGTACCCAAGTGCCGGTCCACCCACATATCAAATTATCAAAGTACCGAACGCGAATCTTATGAACGTGATGAAAACTAGCTTGACGATAATTCCCAATGTGTCCTCGGGAGCTTCTTCTTCATTATTAGAATTTGTCCAGGCTTATCCTTTGCTACATAAAGGATTGGGCCACCTTGCTGCACTTTATTTACTTTATTTACTTTTTGCTCGTTACTATTTATCTTATCACAAAACTATCTATCACCTACTATTTCAGTGCTTGCAGAGAAAACCTTACTGAAAATCGCTTATCATTTCCTTCTGCTCCTCGTTGGGTTCGACACTCTTACTTATCGAAAAGACTACGATAGATCCCCTATACTTGTGGGTCATCAGCACCTATGGTGAAGGTGGCGCCGGAGGATCCATCCTCATCGACTGGTACCTGCTTGCTGTCCGCCTTGTCTTGGGTGAACAACTGCTTCTTCTTGGTTGGCGCACCCCCCTTGGCCTTGAGGGTGTCGGCGTCGGTGGGCTGCGCCACTGCGGCTACCTTGAAGGCGAGCTTGAGGGCCTGCAGAGCATCCTTTGTATCTCCTGCCACGGTAAGGACGCCGCTGCTCCCGGGCATCTTCATAAGGTTGTAGGCCGGGTGAGTCGCTGCCATGAACTGGGCCAAGGCAGGGTAGCCGAGGATGGTATTGCACACACACCAATGGGGGTGATGTCGAAGTCGACCAACTCCATGCCGGGAGGCGGATCTGCCCCAGGGAGCTAGTGGAACTGCCTCCGACGCCCGAGAAGGACTTGCTGGGTCGGAGTCGCTCCAGGGGCACGTGGAGGAGGCTGAAGGCCTCCACCGAGAGCACGTTGAGGCCGGCACCGCCATTGATGAGGGTCCTGGTGACGGCCACCTGGCAGATGGTGGGAGTGCACAGCATCGGGAGCGCACCCGAGCAGGCGGTGTTGGCGGGGTGATCATCCAAGCTGAAGGTCAGGTCGGCCTTGGGTGCCACCCAACTCGAAGGAGCTTCGCCTCGCGTGAGGGCGGTGCCGATCTGGCGGATAAAGGCTTGATGTGGCGGCTCGAGGGTGGCGCTTTCGAGCCGCCCAGGAGAGCTGCAACGATCGAGGGCACCGGTGCAGCATAATGGGTGAGGAAGAGGTTCCGCAGCTCCTCCCAGGAGGCCACTGAAGCCATTGGCAGGTGGAGCAGCCACATGCGTGGAACGCCGGTGAGGGCCATGGGAAGCCAGTTAGCCATGACCCTGTCGTCGCCCCGGGCCTTGAGGACGGCCTCCTGATACGCTAGCAGGAAAGCTAGCGGATCCGCCGGGCCATTGTAGTGCGGCGGCATCTCTGGCTTGAACTTGTTCGGCCACTGCACCTGTCGCAAGGCGGGGACCAAGGCTCGGAGCCCCCTGGCCCCAGTGCCGGTGTCGGTAGACGGAGCGGGCGGCGCGTTGTCCGCCATGAGGGCGAAGGCGGTGTTGATGGAGAGCGGGTCGATGGAAGGGAGAGCTCCGGCGCACCCCTACCTGGGGCGCCAAATATCGGATATCGGGTTCCGACAAAACCCTTAAGGTTCGAACTCTGGGGTGCGCGCGAAGATCTTCCTCCTACCGATCCACGTCCCAACGCCTCGCTGTGAACCTAAGCTACACGATGAACAACACAAGGGGCACAAGGTTTATACTGGTTTGGGCCACCGTTGTGGTGTAATACCCAACTCCAGTGTGTGGTCTGGTGGATTTCCTTAGGGGCTGATGATGAACAGTACAGAGGAAGAACAACCTCGCGAGGGGTGTTCTTGTGGTGGTGTGCTTGGAGAGGAGTTGCTCCGTCTCTGTTGGCTTTCGGTGAGATCTTGATGATCGTCCCTCCCTACTGTGGTGGCTATCTCTATATATAGAGGCCCTGGTCCTCTTCCCAAATATTGAGTGGGAAGGGCACCAACAACGGCCATTTTGAAGGGGAACATCTAGTACAAGTTATCCTTACTAAAGTTGGTCTTCGGCTGCCAAAGGCACTGGCGATGACGCCGTCTTGGGCTCCACGGTGACCTCCATCCTGCCGCTCTCCTGGTCTTGGTCTCATTGCACCAAAATGGTAACCTTTACTTGATGCCTCAGTACCCCGCGCCTGCGCTTGCCCCCTTTGCACCAAAGAGGAAACAAGGACACTTCACAGGCCGGCGCCCGCCTGGCGCCCGCCTGGTCTCGATCGCCATGGCTCGCGTCACGAGTACCTCGCGAGGTACCCCTGCCTTGATCTCTCCGCCTCCTTGCGAGCCTGCGTGGTGAGGCCGTCCGTGAGGAAGCCTTGCATCGTCCTCCCCGCGAGGCTTGGCCCTTCACGAGGGTCTTGAGCTTGAGTTAATGCAGATGGGCCGTGCTGGGCCACCCCTTGAGCCACGCCGCAAGCCGTAGGCAGGCAAGTCTTGGGACCACCGTTCCCAGAACACCGACACAACCAACACACGCACTAGCTAGCATGCAAACACACCGGTCAAGCCACTAACGGCTTGCCCCACTAATCTCTGCACTAACTGCTCACACGTCCAGACTTTGAGTCACTCCCAAGTTTCTGCAGATGGAAAAGCCGTCACTTGGTGCATGCCGCAACTGCCTGCACCCGCTTCTTTCTCCATCTCTGGTCTGCTACACAACTCGGTCGGCCGGACTCCTCACAGACTGACACATGCATCTAACTAATCACAACCCATTTAGCTTTGCATTGTGCACGTGAACACAACTCTACGTGCACACACTGCCGCAGCTTTAACTACATGGATGAACTGGAAATAAACATGGCGCACACACACCTAAACAACAATGGTTAACACCAACAATCACCCCCTTAACCTTGTTGTGCTTTATTGGAAACTCCATGTCAACCTTCAGTATAGCCCCGGGTTGTCAGCGGCGGTCGCATCGGCTAGAAGCGCCGGCTCCTTCTTTGGCTCGGTGCAGTCCCTCGAGTATTGCCCATACTCTTGGCAAGTGTAGTAGCGGACCTTCTGGATGTCAAAGTTTCTCTTCTTCTTGCCGGCGCCGCTGAGGTAGCGAGCAAGCCACTCCTCTTCCGTGAGGAGTAGGCGACTCCCACCACCCTGGTCGTAGTTGCTGGCGCCATCGTCCAAGTCGCTCCGGTCCTCCACCGTTTTGAGCCTTCCCGCAAGCTCTTCCATGGACATGGTTTTAAGATCAAGAAGCTGCTCAATGGCAATAGCTACCTGGGTATACTTGGACGACACGATGCGGAGAAGCTTCTTCACGACCTTCACCTCATCGAGGTTCTCGCCGAGCGTGCGCAATTTGTTGGCAATCTTGTTCATGCGCATGGCGAGCTCATTGAGGGTCTCGTCGCTCCTCATGCGGACGGCATCAAACTCCTTGAGGAGAGTCTGCGCCTTGGCCTCACGGACGCAGGCATCGCCGATCCGCATGATCTTGATGGCATCCCATGCCTCCTTTGCCGTCGCGTTCATGAACTTGGCACCACGCACACTTGTGCCTTTTTCTGTATTTCTTCACACACTAAATGAAGTGGATTACATGGGATTAAGTAGAGCAGCCAACACACGCACTAGCTAGCATGCAAACACACCGGTCAAGCCACTAACGGCTTGACCGACTAATCTCTCCACTAACTGCTCACACGTCCAGAATTTGAGTCACTCCCTAGTTTCTGCAGATGGATAAGCCCTTACTTGGTGCATGCCGCAACTGCCTGCACCCGCTTCTTTCTCCATCTCTGGTCCGCTACACAACTCGGTCGGCCGGACTCCTCACAGACTCACACATGCAACTAACTAATCACAACCCATTTAGCTTTGCATTGTGCACGTGAACACAACTCTACGTGCACACACTGCCGCAGCTTTAACTACATGGATGAACTGGAAATAAACATGACACACACACCTAAACAACAATCGTTAACACCAACGCGTAGTACGTACGTCTTAATAATTGTGCGGCCTAGTCTCATTTGTCACGTACTCCCTCCGTCCGTTAATACCTGTAATCAAAATGGATAGAAGGAAATGTATCTAGACGTATTTTAGTTCTAGATACATCCCTATTTATTTATTTTGATGACAAGTATTTTCAAACGGAGGGAGTACTTTGCGAAGGGCGCAGTCCATGGATGGGGTGTAAGAGGTAAAAAGACTTGCTTTAAAATTCCATGGACCGATGTTGCTAAACTGCTCCCATACAAAACATGAAACCCCCTTGAATTGGGGTACGTATACATGCATATCTACTAACCCTTATTATGATCACAATACTATATAGTACTTATATAATAAGTACTTTTTTTCGAGGGAAGGGGTTGAAATGCAGAGAGAAAAAAAATGAGGAGAGGTAATAAGTATAGGTGTGGTCAAACCACATGTCCTCTCAACGGTGATCGATCTTCTCATCTCATCAGGTGGTATAGTGAGGTTTGTATATGTGTGAGTTTGTGGTTGTCGAACGATGGACACATGACCTCGGCCTGGGCGTGGCGGGGTCACATGAAGTCGAACTCGTCCTCCAAGGCCCCACGGGCGAGCTCGAAGCACGACTCGGGAAGATCCCGGGACAGCGAGCGGATCGGGAAGACCGCGGAGCCGCGGTCGTCGTCCGGCGGTTGCTGCTGGTGCCACGGGCTGAACTTGGTCGGGTCGAATGGGTAGGGCTCGGCGTCGTCGCGGAACATGTCCATGTGCGGGAGCGGCTCCACATTGCCGCAGGTCCAGGTGCCGGTGCCGGTGCCGTTGCTGGAGCTGTCGCCGCCGCCTGTGTAGGCGCTGTACGTGGTGGCGTCGGAGCCGACGCCGGCGTAGTCACACAAGGAGTAGGAGCCCTGCATGCGCATTGCGGGGACGTTTGTCACGGACATGGGGTCGAAGCTGCAGTCGACCGGGGAGTGTGGCGCTAGGAAATCGTCACTGCCAACAGAGCCGCCGAAACAGCCGTCTTCCGCAGCGGGGACTAGCTGCTTGCACTTGTCGTGCGGCTCGGCGACAGCGGCAGCGTCATTGAGCGATTCGTGGGTGGTGGGGTCGATGCGCTGCTGCCGGAGCTTCTTCTTGATGCACGAGTTCCAGAAGTTCTTGATCTCGTTGTCGGTCCGGCCTGGCAGCTGCGACGCTATCTGGGACCACCTGACAACCAACATAAAGGAGTAGTGCAGTTGAGGCGTGTCGACGTGTTTCTGTATGTAATATCGTCGTGTTTCTGTATATACTTACCTGCTTCTAAAGTTCCGATCAACATCAGAAAACAGTGAACTCACTAATAAAACTTACTAATTGTACTACCTGTTGCCGAGGATCTTGTGCAGGCTGACGATGAGGTCCTCCTCTTGCTGGGAGAAGCTGCCCCTCTTGAGATCAGGCCTGAGGTAGTTGATCCATCTTAGCCTGCAGCTCTTGCCACATCTCTCCAACCCTGAACAATTAAGGGAAACACATTTGAGTTCTTGGTCAAGCAAGAGATACATAGCAGCATGGGCATATATGAATGAAGAGATTACGTTACCGGCGAGCCTTGGGACGGAGCTCCAGCAACCGTTGCCGTAGCGAATGATGTGGTTGTAGAGCTTCTCGTCCTCCTCCGGCGACCACAGCCCTCTCCGGAGCTTGGGCTTGTTGGACGAGCACGCCACTGCTGCTGCCGCCTCGCGTCCCATCGCACGCATATGCGTGCTCCCGGGTGGAGTGACTAGTGAGCGAGCGCGGTAGCGGCCTGTGATGGCAACAATGATGGTGAGACACGGCAGGGCAGGGCACAGGCGATATAAAAGCGACACTTATCTCGGCCCCACACACACAGACACAAGCAGTTCCAACAATGCTTGAGCCTTAAGATAATTGTATAAAGATTTAATTAACAATCAAATTAAAGTGGAGCTGAGCTAGCTAGCTCACTCAAGAAAAGAAAAGGGCCACTGCGCTGTGTGTGTGTGTGTGTGTGTGTGTGTGTGAGAGAGAGAGAGAGAGAGAGAGAGAGAGAGAGAGCAGGGGGGCAACATAAGTAAAGTGGGGTTGAAGCAACTGAAAATAGGCGAGGCCCCCGTGGGCAGGCCTAATGGATGGGGCCAGAGGTTGGATTTAAGGTAAGGTAGCTTCAGTTGCGGGGAAGAGTCCATCAAGTACAATAATCAATCTCTCATGCCAACAAACCCAGCAAGCTGCATGTGCCCGCCCCATGCACCATCTCATCCGCATCGTCGTTGTCATCTGTCTAGTGTACTGTATAAAGGTGCTTAGCCTTTTATCATTATTGTTGGTAACCTCCTTGCCCTTTTTCTAGCTCCTTTCCCTCCAATTCTCCGACTTGATTAGTTGGACTCTATGTCACACTGATTATTGTACATGTGTAAATATGCATGTGTTTAATTTCGCCTGCAATCTTGGAGCTGTTAGCTAGGGCTGGGTGGACCGGAATAGCAAAGCCTAGAGTCTAGTTGCATGGATGTACATATCATTTGAAAATATAACATTCATCATTTCTCGGTTAGTTTCCGTCCCAACATTTTCACCAGCGAGCACTATCAGACGAACAACCAATCCCGGTCGCGCCTCTATTGGATGACACGAGGGAACATCGCCTGCGCCGCCAACCGAAGGCAGACGCCAGGGAGGGTAGCGGCGAGGCCTATAGAACTCTCGAATCCTTCTTCTGAAAGTGATATAAAACTGCTAGTTGAGACTTGAATCCTTGAATATTGCTCGCCGGTCCTACCTGGGTCTGACAATTGGTTTCAGAGCCAGATTTATTCCTTGGAGGCGACTGGATATGGGTGCCAAGGAGAAGTTGGAGGAGTCGTAAAATCCTTCCCCTCCCTCCCAAATCCTGGCGGCGGTGTATTACTAGGCGGCGCATGTGGCGGCGATTCATTCGGGTGCAGGTTTGGGAAAAGGAAGTGTTTGCTTAAACTCCTTGTTTTAGTAGTAAAATCCCACCCTCCCTTCCGAATCCGGTGTACCTCGGCCGCAGGCGCAGGTTTGGGCAAAAGAAGTGGTTGCTTAAACTAGCAGTTTTATACCAATTGTTGAAGATCTGGAGCCAAAGGCCCCTTTGTCCCACCAGAATTTTCCACACCTATTTGGCAATCAAGCACCAATTCATAATCTTAGAATTAATCACCCCAAGACCTCCCAATTCTTTGAGGTAGCATATGGTTGGCCGCAAGTAAAAATATATACATCAGAGACTGCAAACCAAGAACCATTCTCCTCCAATCGAAATCAATAGGAACATGCTTCTTGTATCTACATCATAGCATACATGCCGTTTGATTATCTACCAATGAAAACGCCACTAAAAACTTTCACCGTCAAACTAAAAAATTATTAACTTTGAAGTGTAAGCAGACCTTTTAGCAGGAGAGCAACATAATTGCTAGCTTCCGTATAAGTTCAGTGCGTTTCTTAACCATAAACATCATTTCCTTATCAAGTCATTCTCTATGTGTTTATTTCATTCTGGTGCAGTGGTGCCTGCAGGCTGCAGTACAGGAGATGGATACAGAGTCCTTGGAGGTGGAATACAAAGCTCTACTAGGTGATGGAGCTGGAGAAGTTGAGTACTTCCAGTCTCTTGACGAACGAATCATTAAAATGAAGGTGTTTTGCCGATACTCTTCAGTTTTGTTGCTCCGTGATTAAAATTAATTGACTTCCTTTTTTCCTTCTCATGGAGAAATACATATACGTTACTTTCAGTGATGCCGTGTGCAGTTTTAAGAAGTTGAATATCTTTCTTTGAAGGGAGTTTCTGATCCTATGAAATGTCGTTGTGGACTGGAGTATAATGTAGAACTAGGGTGACAGGACCTAGCGAGAACCGTCGTCAGAATTCAGCAAAAACAACAAGAACGCTCAACTTTGGTGGGGAATTGCGACTGGATTTCAGATTGGATCGAAGCGACCAAGCTAGGTTTCGCCAGCCGGAACACGGCGGCTTCAAGGGCCAAGCCCAGAAATCTCTAGAATGCCCTCTCCACAAGCCGGATGATGGATTAAAAAGACCCGAGTGGGTGAAAATGAGAGAAAGCGACAGCTTCAGCTCGAAGAGCTGCAGTAAAATTTAGAAGTAAGGTTACACAACTCAGGGTCGTTCATCTGAAGATCTACGGTAGATAGACGCGGTCATGAGCGTGAAGCGGTACGTTGTCCAGCTGTCGTAGGATTGAAGATTGACGGAGGAGATGAACCCGGAAACGCGAAATGGTA